GACCCAGGTAACCGTGCTGGGCCGAAAGATTTGTAGAATTCGTTTGCTATAGAAGCCCCCAGAAGACCAAATGCGCACTCAGCTAAACAGCATTCCAGTTTAGCGCCTTCGAGTTTCGTCAACTTCATCTCGGTTACATGGCTTCGAGGATGATGCGCATCATCCTTTGGTTGCAACTTACCGCTCGGCACCGAGCGGTAAGTTGCAAACAAATAATGAGTTAAAAAGGGCAGAGGCTTAAAGCGTGAAAAGAATGCAAGGCAAAATAATGTTTGCGCGAGGTATCAAAATATCTTGGAAGTTTTGGATGCGAGGCATAGCAATTTTGCGATATTTCAGTTTCGCTTTAAAACGAAGCTTAAAAGATTAATGGATTTCAGACTTTACCCGAGTTGTCTTTAGAAAGGTTAGATCGAACTACTAAAACATTTTGACGGTTAGGAACTCTACTATACAGCAAGATAGGGCAGAGTAACCTACACAATCGTTCCAGACAGTAGTCTCAGATTGGGTAGTTCCCTATCACTATTTTGCTTTTTCCGCCCGAGTTGCAATCCACTAAAAATCTAATGAAAGCTTTTCAATAATTTCCTGTTAGTTTCTTTGTATGGTTAATTAGATGCAACTGCCTGCCCTTGTCGGGTTTCTCGCAATTTGTAGGACTTCTCCTAAGATGGTTTCATTGGCTTTTTTAAGAAGCCGACAGCACGGCTCTTTGACAGCCCCAATAAGTAGGACCTAAAACATATTGGATCCACTCCCGGTTCCAGTCAGTACATTATTTTTTTTTCAGGCATCATTATCCTCCTTCATTTTGCCATTTGCTAATTCGCGCGTACGTAGTCCACTTTCTGCACTCTTTTATGTGTCGTCCCGGACTGGGATATAATGCATAACGTTAACATGGGCTTTACAAGTAAGAATACAGGTTCGGGGCCATTTTTTCAAATTTTAGTAAATTTCACCTAGACATGTGCCAGCTAATTTTCTGTCCGACGGGGTTTTAAATATGCTGTATCATCGATCTCTACGTGAATTGTTCTGCGGGCTCTGCCTGCTGTCTTTGATCCTGTATCCGCGTTGAACGACTCTGAAATGTACTGCTTTTGAGCCTTTTTGAACATATTGGTACAGTGGTTCAGGCAACCAATTCGCCAGATGGAAGCGAATATGGAAGATATTTATTTGCATGATCCTGTCAACAACTGACACCGGCTGACGGGTTTGGTTACGCGTCTTTTGACTTGGCCATGGCCACTCCTATTTTGTGGAAATATTAGCATATATTTCAGTCGTTCAAGTGGACGTTTTACATTTGTATCACAGCATTTACATAAATATAAGTTTATTCATCCAGAACGTATCCCGAGGCCACAGTTCTTGGGCAATGACAATGTACTTGGCCGAACTGATTAGGACGCCTTACCTAAGTGATCCACTTGGACGCGATTAATCTACTGTTCTGCCAGACGGGGTTACTGCAGTTTCCGTATCGTCCGCATGTTCATGACAAAGTGGTACGTCACCCTAAGTCGATTCCATGTCCGTAAAGCCCTTACGTTCTTACTTAGGCCATTAGTAATAAATATTATATCATGCATGCTGGAAGTCGGTTTATTAACTGAATAGCTACTCACATCTCACATCAGGTATTTAAAATAAACATATAAATTGTTTTATTGAGAACCCGTGGGGATACTTTTATTGCAAATAAAAATACTGTTTAAAGTGAATTTAATAAGAGGTAGACATACCCTGTAGTATTCAGCGCGTGATTATAACGCAACCAATCAGATATTCAAAAATGGTCAGCCAGCAGTAAAATAAAGCTTTCTTCTGAAAAATAAAAAATGAACGTAATTTGATTAGCTTTAAAGGAGAAAAACTGCCGTTCGTGGAAGGGAAAGTATGCTAGTCGGACAGGACTGGCCTACTTACGAATTCCGCATGGAGACCATAATGTCAGTATCCACAACGAAGAGGTTGTTTCGGATGCTGTGGCTCCCCCCTTCAGAGACACCCAAGGGCGCTACGGGAAAGTCTCCGAACTTGCATTAGCAAGCTTCTGTTTGTTTATGTCTTTAGCGTGATCTGTCAGAGTAAATGATCAGTTTGCCACATCGACCAACCCCAAAATGTGCGCTCAATTGCACCCTGACGGAATGAAGATCTCTAAGACGTCTGGTCAATCTCTGCAGAAATTCTCGCTAGTGGTCGCCACACCGTTGTTTGTCAGTTTTACGTTGTTGAGGGGTTCTCCGTTTCCGGCAAGCCCGAACCTTTGGATGACTTTCTCGGTGAACATGTTGGTGAGCTGAAAGACATTCTGGCTTGTGGTCCGCGTGTTCCACGTAGGGCAAATGTCGTGAAGGGTAATTTAGCCAATGTTAATTGCGACACATCTGCCCTCCGTTACGTACGGAACATTAAAGCTCACAATGGCTAATACGAGTGCGGCAGGTAGGTTGTTTCGTAGATCTAACTACAATCACCACATGTGGTTTCATAAAGGCACGCCCATTGCGAACCGCATGACATTCCCAGTGTACACTGGGCGTCTGCGCGACTGCTGGTCATTCAGGTTGCGAAGCCAGGTACTTCACCACAAAGGTAGGTCTCCGTTCGAGGATTTACCCATCGATATAGTTGCTTCCTTCCCAATCAAATACATACACATAGTTTGCCTGGGTATCGTGCGAAAATTGCTGCACATTCGGCATCTGGGCTCCAACAAGCTCTCCGATTCATTGAGTGCGTCTGCTAAGATACGCAGTCAGTGTTTGCCGGCCGAGTTTTCACGGAAGTATAGCATGTATGTATGTATGTATGTATGTATGTATGTATGTATGTATATATTTTGAGGGTTAGGGGCAGAGCCCTTGATGACCCTATTTATGTACAGTGGTTTCGCAGATTCGTACTCAAAATTAAAATTGCAGGCATTTACAATGTGATCGAGTCACAGTTCAATCGTAATCATAAGGTAGTGCATAAGGTCACTGTAAATAATTTCGGAGGTTTTTTTTACAAAAATGGCTGGGCATAGTCATGCTGTAAAAGCCGACTTCTGTCGAAAACTAGACGAGCAAGTTTTATTTTAAACACACAAATTGTGTTGTCCGTCACCATCTCGCTTTGAAGCGAGTTCCACGGCCTGACAACCCGCTGGCTGAATGCAAATTTTTGACGATCTAAGCGCGTGCGCTCATTCACGACTTTGTAGGTATGGCCGCGTATTTGGTTTGTACGGGCAAACTCAAAGAAGTCCCCTGTTCTTAATGAGCAACCCTGTCCGCGGACTATCCGGAACGTCCATAGTAGACTGCAGTTTATTTGTCTATAAGAAAGGGAGAATAAGCCAAGCAATTTCAGCCTATCCTGATAAGACAAATGCTTTAGACCGTCGACCATCTTTGTCGCTTTGCGTTACACCTGTTCGAGTAAGTTGATATCCTTCCTCATCCATGGTGAAGCTGCTGGCATTCCCTACTCTAGATGAGGTCTTACAAAGACACCAAAAAGTCTTTCAAAGTGTTCGGAGGAAATATTTTAAATGCGCGTCTGATCCAGTGTAAAGTACTAGTTTCTTTCTGGACCATCTTTCTACAGCGTTCTGTTGACGATATATTTGTGGCCGTCCATACACCCAGATCTCT